AGAGAGAGAGAGAGAGAGAGAGAGAGAGAGAGAGAGAGAGAGAGAGAGAGAGAGAGAGAGAGAGAGAGAGAGATGATCAGCGCAGTGCATCAGACTGCCACCACTCTGATGAGTGGTGCGTGTACTTGCTCGCAGCAACCCGCCACACTTTACTTCCACTCAGGATCCGACTCGCTCCAAGCCTTGCTTTCGCTGCTATCTTCCTTGATGTAGGATCATCCTCGATTACCTCGCGATGTCCTCTGAATGTCTTTCCCTTGCATTGTCTGTGGCATGGTCTAGATGGAGGCACCGGCGGTGGATTCGGTGGAGGTGCAGGTCTTTGTTCTCCTTTGCGCGGCCTTCCACACCCCCGTTTGGCTACCGGCGCAGCAGTCGTTTGAGCGGCAGGGGGGTTCCTTTTTCTTCCCGCCCTACTGATATCCAGGTTGTCGTGAACGAGGTTGTCATCCAGGCGAGGGAGAGGAGGGCACTGGACCAAGTGTCGTCACTGTCGTGCTGGTTCTGCAGTTCTCTCGGTATATTGCCGTTGTTGCAGCTGCAGCTCTTCATGCTTTTCCGACTGTTGTTGCTGCTTCTCCTGCTCCAGGTCCTGCTTCTGCTCTTGCTGCCAATTTTGGTAGTCCTCTTGCTCAGCTTGCTGGTGCTGTTGTGGCATCTGCTGTTCCTTGAGCTGTGGCAGCTGCTGGTCATGCCCCTGCCGTGGCATCTGCCGTTCCTCAAGCTGTGGCATCTGTTGCTGATCCTTTTTCAGCTGTTTGGCCTCAGCTTGCTCTTCAGCGCCTGTTGCTGAAGCTGGTGTAGCTGATTTTGTTGCAGCTGCCACGCCGGGTGGTGCAGCTGTCACAATGGGTGTTCCAGCTACTGCTACTGCTGCTCTTGCTGTAGCTGCTGTACCTGTCGCTGCAGCTGCCGCACCTGCCACTATAGCTGCCACCCCTCCCGCCGCAGCTGGTGCTGTTAACCCTGCTGCTTCTCGCACTTCCACGGGTGCATCTGGCACTGCTGCTGACACTTGTACATGTGCATCTGGCGCTGCTGCTGCCAATCCTGCTGCTGCAGCAAGTGCTACCGATCCTCTTGCTTTTGGCGCTTCTACGAGCGCGTCTGCCGCTACTGCTTCTGCTGCTATCGACGTTGCAGCTGCTGCTACTCCTGTCTTTGTTGCTGCTGTTGCCCTGTTGAGTCTCGAAGGGGGAGGGACTGCCACTCGTCGTGCATTATCCTGCTCGATCCGCTGCTGTACGATCGAGTGATCCCTCTCTGTGAGGGACCTTGCTGCAGCCCGATCAGCGTCATCATTGACAAGCGTGTCCGCCCTCGAAGGGCACAATGCTGGCATAACGAAAGAAAGATTGCTCAAGCTCTTCGCGTGAGTTGTGTCAATGGGTGGAGTGGACCTTGTGCGGTCGCCCATATCAGGCTCAGAGTCATCGTCGAGCCCGGGTGGATGCAACTTGAAGTCCGGATCATCTGGATCCTCCTCCTCCTCCTCCTCCTCCTCCCCAAGTTCATCGTTGTCCACATCGCTCTCCTCGACCATTGTGGCCTTGCCCTTGGCGTCCCGTGCTGGTTGTGACCTCCTTCCTCCATTCTCTCCTTTCCCACTCCATATGAGCTCTTCGTCGCTGCTCTCAGAATCGGAGGTGTCGTCAGTGTCCCAGCCCTTCGGAATCCTGCCTTTGGGGGCTTTCCTCAGTTTTGCCTGTCTCGCATCCTCCTCCTCCGTCCCCTCCAAGGGGCCTGGCAAAACTGCTGGGTCTTTTGCGCTCGGAGGCTCAGGATCGTCAAAGCATGTGCCCCACATGTCCAAAAAGCCACACTTCAGACCGCGGCGAACCACACTTAGCTGCATATTCCAGTGGATGTACACCAAAATTTCAACACTCTCGATGGAGAGATTGTTCCTCCTCTTTGTTTGCACCAAGTCAAGGGAGGACCAGTTTCTCTCTGCAGGTGTCGCTGTGCTCCACATGGCAGTTACCCTTGTTGCAATCTTCTGAAGCTTCTTATGCTTCCCACCATATGCAGCCCACCACTGCGAGGCCGTCTTCCTAGTGAGGCTACCATCTCCCTTGCCGAACTCGTCCCACATTGGCTCTTTCATGGCCTGTTCCTTCGGCGGTTCGCAATGGAACGTCCATAAGCTTTGCCACACATCAAGGTGTGACTGCAGATACCCCCAACGGTCACCCCCCAACTGTGACAAGAAGAACTTGATCGCGTTTTGTACTAAGGGGGAGTCCATGTCAAGCAGCCATCTGGGGTCTCTCCTAGTTGGATGGAGGAGGAAGTGTGCAGCATGGGCAGGCTGCCTCATCATCTTGCAACCATCGTCGACGAGTGCGAAAAGCGCTTGCAGCTGCTCCCTTGTCATGCCGTCGATGTTCTCCAAGCGGGCGCAAAGCATGTCACCAAATCTCCACAGCTGCGAAGGTGTTGTTCCATCCATGTCCATCCTGCGCAGCATCTCGCTCACAGGCCGCATCACTTTCACCACCCTGTCAACATCGTTCTACCAATCATTGGATCTAACCCAATGGAAAATGTTGTCTGCCCTCTTTCTCAACTTCTTGCTGCTCCAATGTATGTCATTCCACCCGCTCTTCATCATCTCTTCAAGTACCCACCTCCTGTCACTCAGTCTCTCCATCATCTTGTACACCGATGCAAACCGCACCTCTGTAGGCAGAAGCAGTGTCTTCCTTTCATCCATTGATGATCTAGAGTACATGGAAACTGTCTCATGATGTCTCCTTATGAACTTCACAGTAGACTTTGCCTGCCTCTTTGTCGGTGCAACCCAATCGAGTTTGGAGAAGTCCTTGAGGAGGAGGCTCAACGTGTGTGCTGCACATGGCAGCCATGGAATCTTCGCGATCTCCGGGTCGGTTCGACGCTTCAAAATTTGTGCGGCACTTTTGTTGACACCAGCATTGTAGATGCAGATGGCGTTTACCCTCTGCACCCCAATCTCTCTTATGACCTCCTCCCACAATTTGGCAAGAGCCATGGCATTTTTCTTTCCGATTGGACGCGTCGACCACCTTCATCAGTACTGCCCCTCCCTCTCCACCGCCAATGAAATTCAAGACTAGCCTGAACTTTATATCCGTACATCCATCAGTGATGAGTGTGCAACCTGACATATCCCAATTATCCACGATTGGTTGCACTGTTTGCTTCACCTCATCAAAGATGGCGTCAAGCACAATGGTCCGGAGAGTATCGAATTTGGTCATCTGTGCTTTTGCCTTCTGTGCACCCAACTCCATGTACAAGTCGTGGAGTGCTTTGGTCTCCTCTTGCCTCACAAAGTTGAAGGGCACCCCGGCCCGAAACAAAGCCTTACCCCACTGTTTGTCCAACCTCTTCTGTGCAATGTTCTCTACCCACTTGCGGATAGAGGTATGGGTTTTCTTTCCCGTCCTCACATCGGTGGTGGAGGAGGAGGCCTGGCAAGAAGGGTCAGCAGCGACTGCGGCCTCCAATTCACCCAAGTCTAGTCCCTGAGATGTGCGGCCTCCCGAATGAGGCACTGCAACACTTTGAGCTTGCACTGTTGTTGGGACCTCTCTCCCCGGCACCGGTGGTGGCCGAAGTTCTGCCTCCATTTCCTACAACGTTGCTCCATCTTGCTCCCCATCAGGCCCCATCCTCTTGTCCTCAGGTATCCCACTCTCCACCCTGTACCTGTGGACCATCCTCTTGGCTGCATCTCCTTCGATCTTCGCGCCGTCCAATGCAAGCAAGTGCAGAATCTCTGCCGTCCTCGCAGTGCATGGTCTCCCTTTCTTGAAGAAGTGTTCAACTACCCTGGTGGTGGACGCTGTGAACACCGACTTGCACAACCTGCAGCGGACCCAATATTGGCCATAACCCTTCGGCTCCGCCATTTGTCCCCGCTCGATCCATCGGTACACTGTCTTCTCCCGCTGCAATTGTTTTTGTTGTGTCAAGAGCCGACATCGAAGGACCAAAAGGCAACGTCACTATGTTCTCTCTTCGGGCCTTGCTGCACTATTCTCCACATGCACAAAAGACAATAAATATGGCGGTGTATCTTGCCATGTTCTGTCGGTGGATTCATTTTCATTTCATACATTTGGAGAGTAGTGGAGCGAAGCCCTTGATCTTCGTTTCTCCGACGCACCCGCCCTGGT